GGTGCCTGGGGGTCATGGGAAGGGCACGAGAGCTGCTTCTTGGTGTCAGGCACCACTTGAGGACGTGTCACATTCTGGTTTTAATTATGGTCATCAGCTGTCAAACGGCCATGCTGGCGCCTATAGCTCTGGCATTGCCAAGCAGCGCGTAGCCGTGTCTTGCTCCCACCTTGCCATTTGTCCCCAGACCCAGGCACAGCCCTGAGCCCTGCAGGGATACAGCCTACGCAGGGCTGGGCTTTTCCTATGGAACTGTACACACGTGTGCACACACCCACTGCAACCCCAAATGATGGTGTGGTTGGCGTGGCCGTCTGCGAGCCCAAGCCACATCCAGCCTGAGGCAGGGTCCGGCCCTGGCGCTGCCTGTCCGTGGAGCTGCCCCAGGCAGGGGATGCTGTGGGGTGGGTGGGTCCCTGCCGCCGCCCCACTGATTACAGGGAGCCCTGAATGCACTTCAGCTCCACGGTGGGCACGCTGGTATGCCAGCAATGTGGGTGCTCCAGAGGTGTGGATGGTTGGATGGATTGAGGGAGCGCCCCAGTGTACCTCGGTAGATGGTGGCTGCTCCAGACAGCCAACAAGGAGGGCTGCAGCAAGACTCAAGTGTCCCCGTTGCCTGGCCTGGCAGGATGCTGGTGTCCCCAGCTATGGTGCCCATGGCATCCTTGTGGCATGGACCACGGTGTGGACCATGGAGATGCAGCCACCCCTGGGCACGTGGGCTGTGTGTTGCAGCAGGAGCCTCCTCTGTGCCCAGAGACACCTGGTGTGCTCAGAGGCAGCTCCAGAGCCCATCGTGCTAAACAATTAGCAATTAATTAGCAATTAATTGTATTGGCAAGCCGCCGTCATGCTTCGCCAGCAAGTCTGAGGATGCGGTGCCTGGTGGGGGCTGGCCACTCTGACCCTGCAGGGTTCCCCTGATACCTTATCTATCCACGCCTGCGTGTTTGGGAAACTGAGATAACCTCAGGCCCTGCTGTCATCCCTGGGGATTAAGCAGGGGGGGGAGTGGTGCAGTGTCTGTCCTTGTGCTCTGTCTGGCTTTGTGCTGCTCCACGCACATGCCTGGGGGCTTAGTGAGGGTGGTGTGCATGTACAAGGGCTGCTGGGCTGGGGGCTGCCCCTGCCCACTCCGAGCACTGCCATCTCTGTTCCGTGGCAGCTCTGACTGGTTTGTGGGGCTCGGTGGGGAGGTGCCTCCTGCCTGAGGCCGAATGGAGGGATGGGAAGCGCTCACACGATGCCAAGGAACAAACAAGAGGTGCTTGTGCCCTGCCGGCATGGAGCCCAGCACGGGACTGGCACGGGCCCACGGAGACAAGGGCAGGAGCTAGGAGGAGGAAAAAGGCACAGAAGCACAGAGGCATCCATGCAGGCCATGGAGAAGGAGGTGCGGGGAGCGATGCTGGAGAAATCCTCATCCCAGATGCCACCGTTGCCCTTCAGCACCCCGAGCTGGGTCAACCCGGGCATCTCCTGCCCGTGGGCAGCGTGCAGCCATGCTCCTGCTCCTGGGTGGCCTCATCCCGGCCCCCTGCGCCATCCGTGGGAGCAGCGATTGGGTGTCATGGCCGTGGGGAGAAATGCGAGAGGAGGAATCCCGGGAAACTGGTTCTACCCCTCCATCCGGTGCCGGCGGGATGGCGGGTGGTGGCGGAGCTCCTCCCTCGGCGAGGGCATATAACGCCCGGCATGGTCCCGGCGGGCGGCACTGCGTGGCGGAGAGCGATGGCCTCCATGGGGCTGCAGGTGCTGGGCATCGCCCTGTCCGTCATCGGCTGGCTGGCGTCCGTCCTCTGCTGCGCGCTGCCCATGTGGCGCGAGACCGCCTTCGTGGGCAACAACATCGTGGTGGCTCAGATCATCTGGGAAGGGCTGTGGATGAACTGCGTGGTGCAGAGCACGGGGCAGATGCAGTGCCGGGTGTACGACTCCATGCTGGCCCTGCCGCAGGACCTGCAGGCCGCCCGCGCGCTGCTGGTGGTGGCCATCGTGCTGGCCGTGCTGGGCACGCTGCTCGCCATTGCCGGCGGCAAGTGCACCACCTGCGTGGAGGACGAGACGGCCAAAGCCAAGGTGATGATCCTCTCCGGCGTCACCTTCATCGTCTCCGGCGTCCTCATCCTCATCCCCATCTGCTGGTCGGCCAACGCCATCGTCCGGGACTTCTACGACCCGCTGGTGGCCGACTCCCAGAAGAGGGAGCTGGGCTCGTCGCTTTACGTGGGCTGGGCGGCCTCCGCGCTGCTGTTGCTGGGGGGGGCCATGCTGTGCTGCACCTGCCCGCCGCGCGGTGAGAAGCCCTACTCCGCCAAGTACAGCGCGGCTCGCTCGCTGCCGGCCAGCAACTACGTGTAGGGCCGCCGCACCCTGCCAGACGGGGATGCCCCGCGGGGAGCGGGTCTGGGGCCGGGGCACTGCGGAGGGGATGGAGCGAGGGGGGCAGACAGAGCCGCCTTTGTTCACCGGGATTGGAGCTGGTTCTTTAATCCTGCTGGGATGGGAACGGCGCTCTGCCGTCCTGGCTGCCCGCCCGACAGCTCGGGGGCACCCGCGGCATCTCCTCAGTGGGGGCTGGGGGGTGCTGTGCTGTGCCGTGCCGGGACGCTCAATGCGCCGGGTGCTGCCCCACCGGTGACACGCGGCTCCGTGCGGCTCCGACTTGTCCAAACACCACTGCGGAGGACGGGGAGAATCCCCGGGTGATGTCCGTCGAATCTGTCCCGTGTTGCCAGAGGACGCGGTGGCTCAGTGACACGCAGCGCGGTCTCGAGGGGCGTTTGGTGCTCTTCCCCCTCCGTGCCCCCAGTTCTTACTTTGACCTACTTTCGGGGATCTCACCTAGCTGTACGTACTTGTGATTTTTCTCGGTAGCTCGCCGGGGTGCGGGTATCATTATCCTGGGAGTGGGAAGGCAGCGGCAGGGCTGGGAGAACCGGTCCGGGAGGCGGCACCGGGCTCTGCACTGCACTTCTTCCATCCGTGGGGCAGGAGCAGCTGGGGGCTCGTGGTACCCCCGGTGTGGCAGCACCTGACCTCGTGCTGCAGCCATCCCACATTAAATGACAGTGCTGCACTCGCCGTGCTCCGTTGTCTTTATCTGCTGACCTCCGTGATGGGGTGACCTGTGGGTTCCGAGCTGCAGACCCCGTGTCTGGGAACACCAGCATGAAACATCCCAAATCGGGAGGGACAGCCCCAGCCTCCCACCCCCTGCTCCTCACCCCTGGCTCTACCACAGCTGTGCTCCCCTCCCGGGCCACCTGGGGAGGTGACAGTGGGGTGGCTCAGCAACGAGATGCCTTTACAGTATTGAGGCCACCCCACGCTATCACAGGGCCCCGGGCATTGGGGCCATCGCCCCACGCTGCTCCTGTCTGACCGGCTGCACCAAGCAGGAAGGAGAGGCGGGCGCCGGCAGGACGTGGGGTGTTGGGATGGGTTGGGATGCCCCAGGGCTGCTTGGAAGCACCTTGGGGCTGGTGTGGGTGACAGCAGTGTTTTGCCTATTTGCCTTCTGGCCTTGGAACTGTGCCAGTGCACATCCAGTGTGTGGCCAGCCCTGGGAATGTCCTTCATGAGCACCTCGGGGCACTGGGGACAGCACACAGTATCCAGCGTGGGGCACAGGACCTGGACGGTGAGGCTGTGGTGCTCACTGGGGACTTTGAGGGCTCCCAGCTCCAGTGCTTTGCTGGGATGGGGATGGAAGTGGGCAGCCCAAATGTGTTGGAAATGGTGGCAGATGATCTGCAACAGGAGATCGATGCTCCGGCTCTGTGCTGGGATCCACTTGGTCACTGCCTGTCCCCAGTGAGGACACCCAGCCCATGTCCTTATGGCTGTGTGGCACCAGGGGTGGCTGCCCACCATCCCAGCCCTGGCCCCTTGCTTCTCCTGGGAGAGAAGGACGTTGTTATCAGCTCTAACACTGTGCCCAGGCTCGGCCAGGTGCCCATCACAGTGTAATGCCAATGGGTGAGAGGTGCAGGGATGGAGCAGGAGCACAGCCGGGCAGGAGAGGCCATAGAAACCGAAACTGGGAGCAGGAAAACCGTGGTGAAACTTGGAACAACTGCAGGGCGTGCCAGGTACAGCCGATACCCACTGCCACACCAGGGCCATAAAAACTCAGCTGCTCCCAGTTGCCAAGTCTGGGTCCTGGGTCACAACAGTGGGGTCTGCTCTGCATGGGGCCGAGCTTGAGATAAGCCTACAGTCATGGTGTGTTGCTGTGGTTGGTGCCCTGAAGTTCCCCATCTCAGAGCAGCACCCTGTGTCTGCGGTGGCCCCTTCTCTATAGCACCCTGGGAGGGCTGGAGCAGCCTTGGTTTGTCAAACATGCTCCCGGTGCTGCTTCTCCAAAGGATGAGGAGCCAGTATTGCTGAAAGTGCCGAGCCCTGCGGCTGGTATTATAGGCAGACCTGGGCTCGTGCCCATACCCAGCCCCACAGACAGGAAACCTCACAGGTCAAAAGACTACTGCAGTGCGGCCACCAAGGGCACAGTGCCGGCTGGGGCAGCCGTGAGGAGTGCCCTGTGCTGAAGGGACACCTTGGGTGAAAGCATGATTCGCTTGGGCTCCTGCAGCTCAGCCTCCTCTGGACCTGGGAGCTCAGTGTAGGACAGGCCCCCATGCAGCCCTGCAGCAATGCATGCAGCTCCGTGCAGCAATGCTCCATTGAGGACATATCTCCATACAGCTCTGCAGCAGTGCTCAATTCAGGACCTGTCCCTATGTCCCTATGGTTCCCTGCAGAATGCCTCATGAAGGATGTCTCCCCGTGTCCTCATGCAGCCCTGCAGCAACACTCCATGCAGAACGTGTCCCCATGTCCCCATGGTGCCCTGCAGCAATGCTCCATGCACAACACATCCCGCCGCGTCCTGCAGCCATTCCCATCCGGATGGCAGTGGGATGCCTCCGCACAGAAGCACAGCTGCTGCGAGCAGCTCGGTGCCCACATGTGTGATGTGATGGCTGTGCCTGTCCCCACAGGTGCTGATGGCGACGATGTCGATGCAGCTGGGCGGGCTGGTGCTGGCCGTGCTGGGCTGGCTGGGCTCCATCCTCACCTGCGCGCTGCCCATGTGGAAGGTGACGGCCTTCATCGGTTACAACATCGTGGTGGCCCAGGTCTTCTGGGAAGGGCTGTGGATGAACTGCGTCTACGAGAGCACAGGGCAGATGCAGTGCAAGGCGTACGACTCCCTGCTGGACCTCACCTCTGACCTGCAAGCCGCCCGCGCGCTGGTGGTCACCTCCATCATCGTGGCCTTCCTCGGCCTCCTCACCGCCATCTCGGGGGCCGACTGCACGCGCTGCATGGAGGACAAGAGCTCCAAGGGCCGCGTTTCCATCGTGGCGGGGGCCATCTTCGTGCTGGCCGGCATCGTGCTGCTCATCCCCGTCTCCTGGTCTGCCAACAGCATCGTCACCAACTTCTACAACCCCATGGTGCCCGAGGCCCTCAAGAGAGAGCTGGGGGCTGCCCTGTACATTGGGTGGGCTTCCAGTGCCCTGCAGCTGCTGGGTGGGGGCATCCTGTGCTGCTCGGGGCCACCTGTGGAGCGGGACCACTACCCCAAGTCATACCGTGCAGTGAAGGGCTGCGGCCCCATGGGCTACCCCATGAAGGACTACGTGTGAGCTGCCCCAGCCAGGCACCAGCCCTTTGGCACAGCACCACGGTCTCCATCCCCCTCATCCCACATCCCCTGCCCGCACACCAGTGTCCCCACGCCAGCTGTGTCCCCCTCCCCCCCGTGCTTTGCCCTTCCCGCAGGCTGGTGACAGCATGTGGCCTCATCCCGCTGCCCTCCTGGGGCGCTGCTGCTGCTCCCAGCTCTATAAAGGTCTTGGTGCCACTAAGGCTGCCTGGGCTCGTTTTGAAGCTGTGTTTTGACACTTCCTATGTCTCTCACACCTCCATGGGCAGCAAAAGGGTTTGCTGTGCCATCACCCACCATGTCCCTGTGCCACCTCACCACCCCACAGGATGGCCCTTCACACTGAAACCACGCACACCCCAATCATGCAGTGCACATAGGGTTTATTCATTAGCCAAGCACGGGACAGGGACAGCCACAACCCCCAGCCACTCAGCTTAGGGGCAGTGCTGGGGACAAAGGGACCGTGCCTGTATCACCAAGGGGAGGCAGGGGCTGGCACCACAGCACCAGGACATGGGGAGACAATGCACACCAGAGCCCAGCCAGGGGGGATGACGTGTGCTGGAGACAAAATGCTTTCAGCACATTCAGCCTGGGGTGCTTGGATGCCCCAAAGCTGTGGGCTCAGCTCCTGCAGTGGTGGCACCGAGGCGGGTGCGGAGCCACTGCTCCGATGGGGTGTTTCCATGTGAAGGAAATCACATGGATGGATGCTCCTCACATCCATGGGAATGCGACAAGCAGCAGCAGGTCTGCGGGAAGGAAAACAAAAAGATCCCAGTGGGAGATTTGGGTAAAAAACTTCCCAAGGAAGCAGTGGAGGAGGAAGGGGTGGAGGCACCACGCGAGGGGCACGGGGAACAGGATGGGCAGGAGATGCCGGGCGGCTCCGGGGTGGGGAACAGCCACCCTGAAGCCTCTTCCAGGTTCATTTCCCACCCAGCCCATTAGCTACAAAGCCATAGGAAAATGAAGGCTTAAGCAGGCAGGATGAAAGGTTGACGGTGCTTGGAAACTTTTCTGGGCGGCGTCGTGCTGTCACACTGCTCCTGATGTGGTCAGTCTCTGTCACCTCGATGTGCAGGGTGTGGGGGTCACTGCAGGACGCAGAACGACCCCCCCAGGCACGGAGCTGGGGTCTGGAACAGGGGTGATGGGGCAGGATGCAGGGGGTGACCGTGGCCTTGAGGGAGGTGGGCACCGCGAGGACGCAGGGGTGGCTCTGCGGTGGTGTCACAGCACGGACCGGAACCGGGTGCTGAGAAGGAGCCCTGGTGTTTGAGCCTGGTGCCAGGAGGGGGTGGTACGGCCATCGGACGGGGGACACCCGCGGGGCGGCACAGCACCAGGCACAGCGCCGGGCCCCTTCAGGGTATCTCAGCCCTCCTCGGGGGGCGGGACGGGGCACTTGCGGTAGATGTAGATCACGCCGGAGATGTAACCGCTGTCCCGGACGTTCTCCTCCTCCTCGGAGGTGGCCCTTTCCCAGCGCGGCACCTCTTGCACCAGCACACGCTGCCACGCTCCCTTCTGCTCCAGCTGCTGCAGCACGGCCTCCAGCTCCGCCCGGTACCGCCGGTTCGACGGGTTGCTGCGGGTGGTCAGGCACAGGAAGCCCCCTGCCGACGGCGGGTGGGTGACAGCCGCCTGCGGTGCCGCGTCACCACGGGGTGCCTCCGGCTCGCTCCTAGCCGGGAAGCGGGGCCGAGGCCTCGTCCCGTCGCCGGAGGTCAGTGCGAGGACGCCGCCTCACCTGCCCTGGTGACGCGCAGCAGCTCCGGCAGCGCCGAGCTCGGCACCTGCCCCTCGCCCAGAGCTCCCACCAGCGTCACGGCGTCGTAGCGCTCTGCGGTCGGGCACGTTAGCCACCAGCGGGGCGTACGTGGTGTCACCGCTCCCGGTGCCGGCCGTTACCTGCGGGCGCGGGCAGCGGCTCCCGGCCCAGCTCGCAGCGCTGCAGCTGCCGGTAAAGCCCGGTGCCCCGTGCCAGCTCCAGCATCCCGGCGCTGCCGTCCACGCCGTGCAGGCAGCGGAACCCGCGGCGGTGCAGCTGCGGGACGGACGGACGGACGGACGGACGGGAGGGTGGGATGACCGCTCGGCTCCCCCCGCTCCGTCCCGTCCCGTCCCTCCCGCCCCGTCCCGTACCTCCCGCGCTACGAGCCCGGTGCCGCACGCCACGTCCAGCACCCGCGCCTCGGCAGGCGGCGAGGGGAAGGCGAAGGCGAGCGAGGCGGCGGCCAGGTACGGCGCACGGTACTCCAGCGCGGCCACATCCTGCTCGTAGCGCCTGGCCCAGCCGTCGTACAGCCGCAGCAGCTCCGGTAGCTCCGCACCGCCGTGCACCGCCGCGACGCGCTCCCGCACTCCCGCCGCCAGCTGCATCGCAGCCCCGCCCCTCGCCCCGCCCCGCACCGCTCCATTGGTTTAACGCTCCGCCCCGGGCCCGCCTACCGCCGTCCCATTGGTTAGCGGCAGGTGGAGGGCACGCCCCCCAGCTTCTGATTGGCTGTCGTCGCCCGGCCGCTGTCGCGCTCCGTTAGGCAGAGGGCGCGACCAAATGCGGCTGCGGGGGGAGCCGGGAAGTGCGTCGGGGGGACGGACCGAGTGGTGGAACTGGTCAGCGAATGACCTTGGAGCAAAAACCACGGAGATGGCAGCAAGCACCCGGGGAGGTCATCGGGTGCCGGGGGAGGGGTGACACCAAGGGCCTCCTGGTTAGAGAGTGCTTTCAGGAGGAGAGGTGACACTCAGTGCCATCAGGCTGTGCCCCGAGGGTGACCCGGAGCCCCGGGGAGGTGACACGCAGCTTTCCCAAGGGTCACTGGGTGCCCCGGGTCTCTGCAGTGTTCACTGGCGCATCCCGTGCTGCTGGTGCTGCAGCAATGGTGCTGTTTGCGTGGCACTGCCCTATCGTCCCTTTGTGTCACTGTGTATTCTGCACAGTGCTCCTGGGACAGGTCACCTCACAGTGCTCCTGGGACAGGTCACCTCCTGTCACCACCCCCGTGGCTCCAGTCCTGCACTGTCACCTTCATCTCACCTCTATATCTTCTGCCTGCACAAGGCCATGTTCCTCTGCCATTGCCAGGACGTGTCCTGTTCCATGCTGGCGCAGGTGACACCGTGGTGCTGAGCAGCTCCCCAGCTCCGGGCAGGTTCTGCATCTCCTGACACACGTACATCCCTGGCTGCCCATGGGAGCAGGGTGTGTGGCCACAGTGTGAGGTCTGAGGATGTGTTGGGCGAGCGGCCTCGGGGGGGCCGTGAGCGATCACACAACCATTAAGATTGGAAAGGACCTCTACAGTCATCCAGTCCAACCCCAACCCATCCCACCATGCCCACTGCCCGCGTCCCCCAGTGCCACATTTTGGGAACACCTCCAGGGTTGGTGACCCCACCACTCTCTGGGCAGCTGTGCCACTGCATTACTGAGTCTGAATGTTTCCTAATACTCAACCTGAACCTCCCCTGGAGCAGCTTAATGCCATCACCCCTCATCCCATCGCTGTTACCTGGGAGCAGAGGCCAACCTCCATCCTCCTTTCAGGCAGCTGCAGGGAGCAGTGATGCCTCCCCTGAGCCTCCTCTGCTCCACTCTGACGCATCCCAGCTCCCCCAGCCGCTCCCATCAGACGTGTGCTCCAGAGCTCTCACAGCTCCGTTTCTTCTCCAGACACGCTCCAGGTCTCTCTGGTACAGGGCGGCCCAGCACAGAGCCGGGTGGGCGCGGGCAGTGCAGAGCGGGGGCCTCGAGAGGGAGCCCTCCGCCCGTGCTCAGCCCCGCGCCGGGCACTGCCCGCCTGGCCGGGCGGTGGGGCGGTGGGCTGCGGCATCAGCGCAACCCCGTGGCTCCTCGCACCGGCCCTGAGGTGGCCTCGAGGTGACGGCGGGGACACGTGAGGTTCGGGGCGCGGCTGCTGCCCGGTGACCCTCGTGCAGGACGTTGTCACTTTGTCCCCTCTCTGCTCACGGCTCCCATCCCGCACCCCGGGCAGGTGGCTCTACTGCTGCCGCCGCATCTTTGGAGCCGCTTTCCCGCACCGAGCATCATTTTCCCCGGCTCGACACGCGTGGATCAGCTCTGCAATTTGCCGGCACTTTTCTAAACATCGTGTTCCCGGGGCTGGCGCTCACCGAGTGCTGTGCACAGCTGTACAAACAGCTCCTGCTCCCCGCGGCACGGCAGCTTTGGGCTGGCTTTGGCTCAACCCCGGCTAGCCAAGCTGCGGGCCGGCCCCGGTGCCAGAACCAAGGACCCGGGCATGTTTTGCCCTGCAAGGAACCCTGCGAAGTTTTGGATGCTTTGGCCGGAGCTGTGCTGAGGCTGTGCTCTGTGCTGGCACACGGCTCCACCACGATGGGCTCCTGCTACATTTGCTCATGTTCTTGTCACCCTCGGCTCAGTTCTTCAGGTGCTGTCCTCATACTGTGCCTGTGTGTGCAGCATCTCCCTGTGCTGGTACTGCCTTGCAGTCTGCCACAGAGTGGGGACAGGCAGTGGGAAAGAGCAGCATTTTGATGCTCCGCAGGGCCAGGCACCCCCAGGCCCAGCAATGTCACCCATCTGCTGCCTTGCCTGCCTGCAGGCCCCATTGCCTCAGCCTGTCTTGTGCTCCTGGATTTGCTCCAAGCTCACATCTTCCTGCAGAGCTTCCCTAACTGTGCTTTAGGGCAATCCCTAAGCCTGCCCTGTGAGGTGGAGCAGAACACCCAGCAGAAGCAGTCTGTCTAATCTAGGGTGTGGGAATCATGGCCAAGGACTGCCTCGGTCACCCCATGGTGTGTGGCACCCTCAGCCCATCTGGCAGTGATGGACAGCCAGTCCCTGACATGAAGAGAGATGTGATCCGTTGCTTTTGTGGGCACCCAACAGGTCTGGGTGGTTTGTGAGTGTTCACCAGGGCTGTGCTGATGGGTGATGGTGGGAGGCTATGGGAACACAGGGCATCAGTGCTTGTGCATTCCTGCACATGTCCTCTGAGTAGCTCCTGGCTGCAGGGAGCCCCAGGAGCTGCAGCCATGCCTGGTCACAGATGTTCCCCACCA